TATAAAGGACACAGATTGGAAAAACAGCTTATGGGTATAATTATTGGACTTCAGCACTTGACCGGCTGTGGAGATTGAGTGTGAGAGAAGAATTAAAGGTGACACCTGGGTTTATTCTATTGCCTAAGTAAATGGTGCTTGTTATTAACTAATGTATATGGGACTCAGAAGAGCAGATTTGAAGGAGGAATATATAATCAGGTTTAGGAGGTTTGGGGAGAGGTACTTGAACTACCTATGGGTGGATGTAAAGGTAGGCATTTGAAATTTGATCCTATAGCTCAAGAAAGAGGCTTGGGCTAACAGTATAGATTTCAGTTATAGTGCACAATTGGTAGATCAAGTCCCTGGAGTGTGAAGGTAGGCCACGGAAAATGCAGTAAGAGCAGATAAGACAGCCAAAGATGGAACTTTGGGTGATACCAATATATAAGGGAGGAGGTAAACAGAATTAAGACAAATGCAGAAATAGAGAACTATGGGGAAACTGAAGGTGAGAGCCTGGGAGAAAGAAGAAGTGGAATAGGAATGAGCCAAGATAAATACCAGATATATCTGAAGAAATCTTTAGGGTTCCGTGCTCTAGGCCTGATCGTGCTAGGTGAATTGTTGACTTTCTAGCTGTTAATGAGGTTCCACTTACCCATTTAAGGCAATTTTGAGTAACACTTAGTGAACCATTAAGTGTGTATGCTTTTAAGGGTGCTTAAATTATGCCTAGTGAGTTTACATACCCAAATGTTGTTGTCTCTAAAGTTTGTGCGTTCCTTATATGTAAAATTTAAAGACATAGCTCCTTCCCTTACTGAGCTTTCATGGAAATTACATACAGTACAAAATAAGAATACTCAACTGACAAATAAACAAGTTTGTAATTGTAATAAATTCAGTTTTGGCCAAGCAAAAAACATCTGTGGTAATTTAATAAAAGTGTTGTAGACCATTTAGAAAATAGCATAACTATCACACCTTACCTTAAAGTATGCTAAATCTATCCATTCAGAATTTTCCTTTTTTTTCTTCCATGCTGTGTTGTGTTTTAACATCAGAGCTCTGTGGGAGAAGTGATGTTGGCCTATCTCTTATATGCCTAGTTTAGCCAGGCCATGTTAATGAAGCTCAATAATCCATCCACCCAGACCTTTAAAGAAAATAATTAATATAAGAACTTGTATTCTCTAAATGAATGTTGAGTATGAGTTATTAGTTTACAAGAAGAAATTTGAGTGGGAATAAAAATTTATGAAATGACATTTCTGCTCCAGTGGTAAGTATTCTGATGCTAAGTGAACTTTGTATTTAGATTTGGAATTTTAGGAATTTTAGTGTTGTGCTAGCAATCATGGAAAACTTGAAGTTTTTTGTTAGCTTTCTGAAACTTTTTTTTTTTTCCCCCTCAAATTCAATACCCTTCAGTATCTCAAACCAAAGTTCCCTAACATTCAACTGCCCAGTATCTTAATTTCTTGGAGCTTGCTGATAACCAGGAAGTAAGGACAAGTTTCTGAACCACTAGACTAGAATAGAATTTACAGGGCTTCTACAGTACAATTTATGTCCTTTATTCCTGGGTGCATGTTCCATACTGTCAAAACCAAAAATTGGAGCATAAGATTAAAAATATGAACAGGGAATTGAAGTCTAGGAGCCAGCTATCCTTAAGTTTTATTTTATAGCAGGTTAGAGGTGGTAAATTTGATGTAACTGTTCTAATAGATTTATTATGCATTTGAATTAGTTCTCCTCCTTGGCATTTTTAGTGCCTTGCTTATATTTGGTAGAGCTCAACTAATAATTAAATGAACACAGTAGTAGGCACGCAAATATTTGAACATACATATTTAATTTTTTAAAGCTTAATTTCTTGCTATGTAAAGTTCTCACTCCTAAAATAAGATCGTGAGAGGTAATTATTTTAACAAAATATTATATTGTGATAACTAGTCTGCCCCTGCTCAGTTCTGACCAGTTAAAGGTAGGCACAATGTTTTCACACAGCGGGGTTATTTTCTCCAGCATCTGCGGCTTTACTGTTTTTGCTTTTCTGAAACATGCATGAATGATTTCACTCAACAGCTACTTAGCCAGTACCTAGGCCCTGAGGGTACAGTGGTTAACAAGATAAGAAAGATCACTGCTCTCCTAGTACTTACATTCTAGTAAGGGGAGACAAATAGATTAAACACAAAAATACCCAAGATTATTTTAGGTGTGGTAAATGCAGTGAAGGAAATTAACAGGTTTTGGGATGGAATAATTGGCAGTGGTAGCTGTTGCAGCTGTGACAGCTGGTCAACACCAGTAGCAGCTAAATTTCAATGATCAGGCAGTCCTGACACCCCTAGGTTGAGAACAGCCAGGGTTGTGCTGAGGGAGGGAGAGCATTCCAGCAACTATAAAGGAAGGAGTTTGGTGAGAATAGACCAATGAGACTACAGTGCTGGGAATGAGGAGAAAAAATGAGGTAGGAGAAGGGAGCAGAAGTCAGATCACATAGACCAAGAAGGGTTGGTAGAGAGTTTATTAAATGTGTGATTTGTAGAAGTGTGTTAAGTTGAGGGAGACATGCTCTGGGTCCCCCTAGTTGCTGTGTGAGGAATAGTGTATAGGAGGCCAAGAGTGGAACTAGGGAGCCCTGATAAGACGAATGGGTGGTAGTGGTGAAAAGGAGAGAAGTGCACAGATCAAATGTATGATTTAGTAATTGAATGTGGGAATAACGGAAAAAGAGACATCAAGTGTGACTCTAGACTCTTAGTTTAAGTTGTAGGTGGGGAATTCTTGGCCTAGAAAAATCAAAGGTTTGGTATTGAATATGGTTTTTTTTTGTCTTTTTGTCTTTTTTTTTTGTGACCGGCAACGGATTGCAACCCTCAGTGTTGCGCCTGTACCGGACCGGGACCGGCAACGGGATCGCAACCCTCGGTGTTGCCCCCACTCCTCGCTCAGCCAGTGAGCGGCCGGTCTGCATGTGGGATCCGAACCCTCGGCGGGAGCGCCACCGCGCTTCCCAAGCAGCGCACTGTAGCAGTGCGCCACCGGGCCGGCCCTGGTATTGAATATGTTAATTTGAGATGCCAAAGAAAGATGTCAAATAGGCAGTTGGGTAAATTTATTTGAAGCCCTAAAGGTAGGCCAGGGTTAGAGATAGCAATTGGGAATCATCAGCATCAGCATGCAGATCTCTTTTAAACCCTTGAAACTAGAGGATCACAGAAGGAGAGAGTAGGGGAAAAAAAAGCATTTTGGTCTATTCTCATCAAGAGGTGGTTAGAGCAGTTTTAGTTAATGTGTAGCTAGGTAATGATAGTAATAATCTGAATGTTAATGCTATGTTCATTTGAGTTCAGAAATTCTACCCCCAAAATAGTTTTTCAAACCTGATTTGTTGATTAAAGTAAATGAAGGATTATTGGTCCTGCTTTCATTTAAAATAAAATTCTTGACATCGGTTTGCTCTGTCTAAATATAATGAGGCTTGTGGTTAGGCATTAAACTGTTGTACGTGCTATCTGATCTAGTATGTCTTTGTGAGTTAACATCTATATATTAATTTTCACAACAGCCACATACTTTCTCAGCTCCTTTTTTGAGGAACATAACATTTCCCTTTAGATTATAGAATGAGAGTAAAACTATTTTAAAATTCTTAACCCAGTATTTGTAGACAAAAGACTACGAAAGGGGCTGGCCAGTTAGCTCAGTTTGTTAGAGTGCAGTGTTATAACACTAAGGTCATGGATTCGGATCCCTGTAATGGCCAGCTGCTAAAAAAAAAGGAAAAAAGACTAGGGAAGTAGGTATCAAAAAATTAACACTACTTATCCTGGGGACATAAAATTATATTTGATTTTAATTTTCTTTAAATATGCATCTTCCATGTTGTTAGTATTTTCTGTATAATCTTTAAAAAGTAAAATACATATTAAAGATGCTTTCTAAAAATTGGTTTTACTTTTATAATGCAGTAAGTTAAGTAATTTGGTAAGTAAGTATAATTCAGTAAGTATATTTAAGTAAATATATTCTCAAAGAATATATTTAAGATTGTATATTGGACAGGTACTTGAAAAACTGATTCTGTACCGTAAGGAGGAAAGGTATAAAGAAATATGGAGGAGGAAAGAAAATAATATGCTTTTGAATTCTCCAGTGGACAGATTTCCTACTTAGTGATGAAATGGATGTTCACTGAGAATATTTTTGAACTTCTCTCTTGACGTTTTACTTTACGGATTATTTAGAAGACTTATACTTTAAAAGGAAAATATTAATGGTAAGATAGTTATAAAATGTTACTTTAATCAGCTAGGAAAAATAATTCTTGATGGATATATATCTGTATATCTAAAAGTTATATCTTACCAGCCCTTTGTTTGGATTATGTAGGGTAAATTCCAAATGGAGTTCATAAATCTGAACACAAGAGAGCAGCAAATCCATGTGTAACCAAGGTCATCTAATTGCCTCTAAAAATATTAGTTTAGGGCCGGCCCGTGGCTCACTCGGTAGAGTGTGGTGCTGATAACACCAAGGCCACGGGTTCGGATCCCATATAGGGATGGCCGGTTAGCTCACTGGCTGAGCGTGGTGCTGACAACACCAAGTCAAGGGTTGAGATCCCCTTACCGGTCATCTTTTAAAAAAAAAAAAAAAAGAAAAGAAAAAAAAAATATTAGTTTATCTTTTGTCTTTAAGTAGCCATAGTAATATGTTAAAAAGCAATTAAAAAATAAAAAACTTAAGCTCTAATGTAAAACATGCAAATTTTGAGATCCTGCTGACTATATGATTAAGAAAACTTAATGCTGTATTTGGTAATAAAATCAAATTATGATTTTCTGAAATGAGGCTTTCTAGTTCAATTTGAACTTGTAAATTTCACAGGTAGTCATTAAAATATACCTTCAAAGAGTTCTATTTTATATAGGACCTTTAAAAGACAATATTATAACATATATATCATATAGTAAAAGGACATTTCTTTTATTTTGATATAGCTTGCATTGAAAGGCTCTAGCTACAGTGGACTGCTTGAACGACATCATATTCACACCAGAAATGTAGAGCATATTATAGATAGTTTACGGTAAGTCTGTGGGATTGGGTCTTGGGTTGGCTTTTATATTCAGAATATCCAATTTTTATTTTGTACTTGTAGCTGATCCTTAGATTTTTAGTAAAGATTGTCATTATAAAGTAATTTTCAGGAATTTTATAGCATTTCTAAGGAAATTTTTATTGTACTCTGAAAATTTCACTGGTATGTTTTTTATTATTTGGTCTGCCAGAGAAGTGCCTTTTCGGCAAATAGTTATATTCAGTACACAATGGGCTTCAACTATATGCAATGTTTTATTTCTTAGGATAGTAGAGTATTTAGGTGTTCATTATAGTAATCTTTGGGTGTCTAAAAATTATTATTATGGAAACTTCAGTTAATTTGAGACTACATTCAGCCAGTGAATATGTTTATGTGTATACAAGAGAATCAGTGTGAAAATATGCAAATTACAAAGTATTTCAGCCACTGTTTTAGTGTCTGGCACTCAGTGAATATTTGTTGGATTTAAAATAACAGTTAAGTTTTAGTTTACTTTACTTTTAACTTAACTTTATTTAAGTTTTATAACTAAAAAAATTCTCTCTCTAAGTGTTAGTCTTTTGGGCCATTTTGATATTAATAAATTTTAGCATCAGAAGGAGTAGAGAATGATGAAGTCCCAACCAATCAATATTGCTGTTTGTTAGTGGTTATAAAAAATGTTTTTAAAACATGGAGATTTGGTATAGATACTAACTTTGTTTGTTCATATGTTTCCTGACCTATTGTAGTTAATTGGCTATTCTTAGATGAAAATAGAACTGACTTTACAAAGCTAAACATAAATTTGTTTACAAGACACAAACTTGATAATCTTACATCTCCATTGTAATAATCTGCCTCTCAGAAAACATACCCTTATCATATATGTTGTTAATGGAAGTTTTATATAACCTTTACTTTTTTATCTTAGGAATGAGGGAATTGAGGTTCATCTAGTGAAGAGAAGAGAATATAATGAAGAGACAGTTCGATGGGCAGATGCTGTCATAGCTGCAGGAGGTAATAGTTTTACAGAGGTAAAGGTGTTGGGATATGGAAATGCTCATTAATAAACATCATTTCCAAATACTCTGGGGTGTAGCTATATTGAATCCTTTAGACTCCTATCATAAGAAAATTTTTGGAGTTTTAGGATTAGGTATAAAACAAATTTGTTTTATACAATATTCTACTTTTACAATGAATGCTGTTACTGTGAGGTTATGTGTGTATATTTAAGGTGTGCAGTTAGCTTCAAATATAATTAAAGAATTATTTGTAATTGTATTTCAGTTTAACTTTGCCAATCTTAAAAAAAGGTGAAGTTGATAAAGACTTTAGTGAGATTAGGTAAATTCCATCCCTCTTTGGCCCTGATATACTTGCACTTATTTTTTTCTGGTATTACAGGAGAAGGAAAAGGGATTGGCTAATAGAAGTTTTGGGATTAGAGCAGTGGTTCCCAACTGGAGGTGCTGCTGGCATCTAACGGTAGAGATTAGGGGTGCACTTAAACATTCTCCAACGCACAGGACGGTTCTCCCTAACCCAAACAAAGAATTAATCTGCCTAAAATTTCAATCGTGCCACTGTTGAAATCCTGGATTAGAGAGGGAGAACTAATATGAAGGTATAGTAGGTAGAAAGGAAGTTGGGTAGAGTGTGGCAGTCAGCAGGGTGGGTGTGATGATTAAAATAAAAGTACTAGTTTTCAAAATGTCAAAAACTAGTTTTATAACGGAAGTCTGGTTTGTCTTGTCTTTTGTCTTATGTCTCTTAGGTGATGGCACAATGCTTCTGGCAGCAAGTAAAGTCTTGGATAGACTTAAACCAGTTATAGGGGTAAACACTGATCCAGAACGGTAAGGAAAAACATGTTCTTTTTGTTTGGTTTGAGTTTTTTTGTTATTGTTGTTCATGTTATGTATACAAACATATCTGTTTTGCTTTGCAATGTATCTATTTATGATAAACCTTAAAATTTAGAAACTATATTTTCTCTAATGTAGTTACATTGTTGGGCTTTGTCACTACAGAGATTTTACTGTGGTGCGTGATGTGTAAGTGGAAACATCATTGTTCCTGGATACCATGAACATTGTAACCATGTTCCAAAAACATTTTAGTGATGAAATTTAGGCATGTAGAATTGATCACTGCTGTTTGTAAGACTGTCTTTTATTTAATTGTTTTCAAGGACTAGCTCTAGTTTTTAGCTCAGTTGAGATATACCTGGGATTGGTGGTAGAAAATTATGTTATGGGATTGACTAGTCCTTGTATTTGAGCTTCCCAGATGGTTTGGGAGTAGGGTCTGTGGCAGAATAGACCTGAGCCCTTGATCCAGGTAAATGTTGGGGACCTTTGGAATTGCCGAAGAGAGATAAGTTAATAATGATATATCTTCTGCCCTTCCTTGTGGCTCTCATTTATATTCTCGGTTATGCCTCTACTCATTTTCTGGGTGAATTCATTGGCTTAGTGAATAGATCTATGCAAACACTATTACCACTTTTCTTTTTTTTCTTCCTTAGCTTCACTGATATTTACTCTCATTCTGTTCCAGCCACCTACAACTGTGACTATACCTGGACTATGTGATCATCTGGAATTTCCCCATCTCTACAGTCTTAACATAATTCTGACCATTGCCTTCTACCTTAACATGAGTCTTATTTACTCATCCCACTACATCTGTCCTTTAACTTTAAGTGCTTTGATTCCCTCTGTTTTCTTTACTTAATTCTCCCTCACTTTATTCACTTTCTTGACAATTCCTTAAATATTTTTTAATCATTATCTTTCCGCTCAATTCTAGATCAGTCTGACCATCATCATCCTTTCTACTCCTGTTTCAGCACTGCTAAGGTCATCTGGGGAAAAAAAAAAGTCATAGAAACTTGGGCTTGGTGGCACTTCCAATTTGTAGTCTCCAGCACTTAGAGCTGGACCCTTTGAGTTACCCAAAACCTCTCTGTGTAGCCCTAGTCATCTCTCTTCCCCATTCCCTGTGGTGGTTACCTCAAGAGCGGCTGTTCAACTTTTGTATACTTTTGCTTTCTTCATTCTTCTTACTTCAGTAAGCCCTCTTCTTTTTTTTTCACAGAGAAAATGAATATTACTGAATTAGAATTTCTTCAGCTTTTCTCCCACTTTAAAAAAACATTTTGTTCTATTATTTGCTACTTATTTTTTCTCTCTCCTTTCACAGATGATTCCTCTTAGCCTAAAGACTTGTTCAAGTCTCCCATTTTTCAAGAACATTTTGTAAGTCCTTTACTCTGTGTCTCTCTCTTGGTTGTTATCCTTTTTCTTTCCCTTTATCCCCAAACTTGGTATCTCCACTTGCTCATTTCGTACTTATTTTCTAAACCTTTGTGGTCTGTTCTGGATTTGCTCCCAACCAATTTATTGACATTGCTTTTGCCTTAGAGACCAGTGATATCCTAGGTACTGAATCTGCTGGACATTTTAGTCCTTGTCTTACTTGATTTCTGGGAAGTTTTTGGTGCTAACTGCTCCCTTATTGCATCCGTACTTTGCTGGCATTTATGATTACCCCTTTCTTCCTATTTGTTTGCCTACCTCTTTGTCTCTTTTGAAGGATCTTATTTTTTGGTCACTGCTTAAATACTGATGTTTTCATGTACATTATGGTGCTCTGGGCCATCTTTTTTCTCCTTCATTCTCTATACTGTCTCCAGAGTAGCTGATTAATATCCATGGTTTTATTTCAGATCTTGGTGACTCCAAAATCTTTATATCCAACACTGATCTTCTTGTATCCATTCTTACTATTAGAGTCTCTTCTCCCCACTGCAGCCAGCATAATCATTTTATTAAGGTTTGATAATACATGTGACCTCTCTGCTCAGATTCTTATAGTGGCTCCCCATTGAACTCAGAATAGCATCTAATTCTTTACTATGACTAGGGTGATCAACTTACTATGGTTTGCTTGGGACTTTCCCATTTTAGCATTGAAAGTTCCCTGTCCCAGGAAATTGTCACTCAGGCAAATAGGGGTATAGTTGGTCACCTTAATTATGACATACAAGGTTCTACATTATCTGGGCCCTGATTATTCTGTCTTTGTCTCCTGTTCCTTTTTTCCTTTTTCCCATGCTGTTGTAGCCACACTGGCCTATACTTGGATATATCATCATTGGCATTTAAAGTGTAACACGTCTACAAATGAACTTCTCTTTTTTTCTCTCCCCCATCAGTCTTGATGAATGGAATAATCACTTGTGCCGAAGCTGTGACTACTTCTGCCTCACCCCATCATCAGATTGATCCTAAGTTCCAGGGATACTACCTTTGAGTCAATATAATTGGTTGCTTAAATTACTGCAATAGCTTTCAGTCTCTCCCCTTCCAAACCATACTTTACACTTTGTCTTAGTGTTCTTTCTAAAGTGCATATCTGATTGTATTTACTTCTCAATTAAAATCTTTTAGGGTTTTCCCATGACCTTCAGGATACATTGCAAATTCCTTAGCATAATATATGTTCTTTCATCATCTGTTGCCTATCTTCTTTTCTAGTTTTATCTATCCTCATATACCCACAATAATCTGAGCTTTAAGGATTGTGAGGTACCACAATGCTTAAAAAATCAGGCAACTCAAATCATAGAACAAACTGTGGTACCTTGCAATCCTTAAAGCCCAGAAGTTAATGTTCAACTTACGTTTCTCCTCTGTATTAGTTATCAAATGCTGCATAACAAAACTTGGAGCTTAAAACAATAATAATAATTTATTATTTCTCATGGTTTCTGTGTGTCAGGAATTCAGGAGCAGCTTGGTGTGGTGGTTTTGTCTTGGGACCTCTCATGAGATTATAGTCAGATCTCAGCTGAATGCTTTACTTGGACTGGAGGATCTCTTTCCAAAATGGCTTACTCACAAGGACTCATCTAAATTAAATATATAATTTCTGTCTCTTCTATATTCTGCACCTACTGTACTGAGTCTGGTAAATAATTACGACACTCGAATGCTTAATATTCAAAATGGTATAGAGGTCATGTGGCAGCCAGTCTCCAAGGTAGCCGCCTAGTAATTATACTCTTATGCGCCATACCCCACTCCATATTTAACCAAGTGGGGCTGGCTCATGTGACCAATAATGTGACCAATGGTGTGACAATGTGTGGATTCCAAGGCCAAGTCTTAAGTGGTATTGTAGCCTCTGTATTAGTCTTTTGGATTGCTCATTATGGGGTAAGTCAGTCACTGTGATGTAAGGACACTCAAGCAGCCCTGTGGAGAGGCTCACATGGAAAGGAATTGAGGCCTCCTGTCAACAGCCAGCACCAGTTTGTCAGCCATGTGAGTGAACAACCTTCGAGGTGGATTCTTCAGTCCATGTCAAGCCTTCAGATGTCTGAAGCCCTAGCTGATATCTGACTATAACCTCATGAGAGATCCTTCTCTCTACAGTATTTTAGACTTGCAGTTGACCTCAGCAGGTATTGTTCTATCAAATAACTTGATACCTTTTATATACTTTAACACTATGTAAAGTACTACAGAGAATTTAAAAATTAAAAACTTAGGTCCTGCCGTTTCTTAACCTGAGTGTTGACCTCTCAGATGAAGAAATTGACTAGTTATAACTTTGTAAAAACTTTTTTTTTCCTGTTCTTCACACTTATAAATTAATTTATATTTATTATCAGTAGTTTGTTTTGCCAAGCCTACCGTCAGTCATTCCTTCAAGATTGACGTTATCATATAAACGAGGATGATTGAGCTTTCTGGACACCTTTAGGTGCCGTATACTCTCAACTTCCTATAGCAGCCTATTGGCAATCTTACCACCTTTTACTTTGCATTATTTGTTTAATTTCTGCCTTCTACATCAAGCTGTGAACTTCCTGAAGGAGTTTCATCTTAGATATATTTTGAGTAAATGAAGGATTACATTAGATTAAGATTTCTCTGTTCTCTTCTATGACTCAGGCTATCTTAAATGACACTTAGAAGGGGATTGTAAGGGGGCTGGCTGTTTAGCTCAGTTGGTTAGTGCATGGTGCTGATAACACTAAGGTCCAGGGTTTTGTCCCTGTACTGGTCAGCCACCAAAAAGAAAGAAAGAAAAACAAAAAAGGGATTTTAGTTCAGAATCCTAATTAAATAATTTAAAGGTAAGATGCAAACACTATTGTACCAGTAGATAGCTTTACAAGGTAATCAATTGGTAGCAAATTTGCTATTATTTTTAGTTTCCCCATAATGTGGAAAATTAAGTATTATTGTGTATTATGGCATTATGCTGGATGTAGACTATTACAGTTGACCCTTGAACAACGAGTTTGAACTGCATGGGTCCACTTATACATGGATTTTTTTTTTTTTTCCTTTTTGTCTTTTTTACTGACCGGTAACGGGATCGCAACCCTCGGTGTCACACCCGTACCGGGGACCGGCAACGGGATCGCAACCCTCAGTGTTGTGCCCGCACTGCGCTCAGCCAGTGAGCGGGAACCGGTCTCCACATGGGATCCGAACCCTCAGCGGGAGCGCTGCCGCGCTCTCAAGCGGCACACTCTCCAGTGCGCCACCGGGCCGGCCCTACATGGATTTTTAAAAATAAATATATTGGAAAATTTTCTCTTCCTTATGATTTTCTCAACATTTTTTTTTCTCTAGCTTAGTTTATTGTAAGGATACAGTATATAATACATATAACATACAAAATATGTGTTAAGCAACTGTTTATGTAATGTAAGGCTTCTGGTCAACAGTAGTTATTAGTTAAGCTTTTGGGGAGTCAAAAATTACACGCAGATTTTCAACTGTGTGGGGGATGGGCAGGGTGGGTTGGCAACCCTAACTCACACATTGTTCAAGAGTCAACTGTAATTCTTTTTGGTCTTTTTTGTTCTTGTTGAAAGTACGGTTTGTGACCAAAAATGAAGTGTTGTGACCAAAAATGAAGTGTAGAGTAGAAATTTTAAAAATTTCGTATCTGATTTTTGTAGCGTACTGATGCCTTTTGGATTAAGTTTTTTTTTTTCTTCTCCCCTTTGTACTACTTAAAAATCCCTTTTAAAATAAAGGTCTGAGGGTCATTTATGTCTGCCTGTTCGATATACACATTCCTTCCCAGAAGCCTTACAGAAGTTCTATCGTGGTGAGTTCAGGTAGGAATTTCTTACTATTCTTACATAAATATTTTAATAAATATCTGCCATTAATAATGCTTTAAAAACAGAACGAATGAGATAATATTTGGATTACTCCATAGTTATAACAGTAACCATAAAAAGTAATACATTAGCTGAGTCACAAACAGATCTAACTTACCTTCTCCTAGTCCAATTAGAACTGTCAAGAGAATTCCAGACAAATATTACTTGGCCAATAATGTAATTGCAAATAGAGGTTTTTCTCCTTCGGTGAGAAGATCATGTCTCTGCTTATTTACCTTGTTACATGTGTTTAGCAGTTGTTAGAAAGATGGTTAAAACTGTTGGCTGAAATTGAGTGTTCAAACTCTGAACTGTATATTTTTTATCCTCATCTCCCATCCAGTAATGACTGAAGGTTGGATTTAATCCAGACATGCTGTGCTGGTATCTCTCTTACATATCACTTCTTAAGCAGTGGGGATGGGATGTTTTTTCATGTTTCTTTCACTTAATCTGCTCAATAGTCAGACTGTCATGAAAAGAGGAGGGTGGAGGGAGGAGCTGAGATGAGGTTGGCCAATTACATTTGAGACAGCCAAGTTGGATCACTTTTTATTTTCTGACTTGAACTAGATTTTATGGTTTCAGAAAGTCTTTTCTCCTACATATTGTGAAAGTGTATTAAATCTACTTGATTTCTCTAGTCATTTCATTACCAATAATTCTAGTTTCTAGTCATTTTAGAAGTTTGGTACCTCTAGAAATGACCGATTTATAACCACCAAGTGGTAGTATATTTTTGTATACTTATCTAGTAGAATCTGTCCCATTGGCTTTTGATAGATACATTGATAATTGGTTTTGAAATCAGTTAAAACCAATTCTTTTATTTTTTTAAATTTTTTTATTCTTACCAAAAACGTCATTTAAATTTTGGGGTGTAGTTAAAAATGTTATATTTGTTATTTCTTAATCTCTTTTTTCCTTTTATTGTTTAAATAATAACCACCCATCATTATGAAATTTTGAGTCTAAAAAATTAGATTTTTATCTAGTCCAACCACCTTAACACAATATTGTTTGAATTTTGGAATGCCTTCTTTTTTATATAATACTTTTTTGCTGAGCAAAACACAAGTTATATGTAGCTATTTTGTACTTAATAGGTTCTTGATAAAGAATTTGACCTTAAGTTACTGGGGAGATTTTGTACAAACACACTGGATATTTGCATTGTAATTGAAAAGAAAAATAAAAATGCAAAATCTGTCTTTGAGCAAGAACCTGTGGGTTTAGGTGTTTCTGGTATAATTTATTCATGGAATAAGCTAGTTTTTTAATATGAATTTTTTAATTTGATGGAATTATTATATAATGGCTACTCCTTAGTTTGATTTATTCTATTTTAGCTTAACTTGCTTTTCTTTCACTTTTCTAAGGTGGTTATGGAGACAGCGAATCAGGTTATACCTTGAAGGGACTGGCATAAACCCTGCTCCTGTGGACCTTCATGAACAGCAACTAAGTTTGAATCAGCATAGCAGAGCCTTTAACATTGAAAGAGTTCATGATGAAAGTAGGTTGATTGGGAATTAGGTGTGTTTGGGGCAATATTTAACTGATGTTTTCTTTGACCTCTAATTTTTTGAGGTGGTAATTTATAATTAACTTATTTTTAGTGCTAATAATAATGCTTAAGAAAGAACAGAACTACTTCAGTTATAAAATTTATTATAATTTGAATCTGAAGTAAGAAATACAGCATTTCTAGCAGAAATGTTTTCTAGGACAGGTTTGAAAACTAATTGATTAGGGAAGAATTATAAAATATTTGACAGGATAGTTGATGTTTAAGGAAAGATTCATGGCTTTAATCTTTGATGATATGTCAAAAAAGGAAAAAGAAGAGTAAAAAAGAAGAGTAAAAGAAATAGAGGTAAAATGAGCTATTCTGGGGAAGATGACCTAATACAGTAATTATACATTTTTATATAGTTATACATAGTTACAGTGATTGATTAAAAACTTTTTGTTGGGAAATTTTGCATTCCAGTCTTAAGATTTGTGTTTGAAGTATTTGTGTAAGCTGCTAAGAGAATAATAGCATCGAGTGACTTGCTGCTTTTTTGTTATGAGGTTTAAGGTTAATCTTTGGTCTTGAGCTAATTTGTGGGTTATTTAGCTGTATTTTCCGACTTTTTCCAGTATCTGTAAGACTCTCATGATGCCAGAAGATCTCAAGAGAAATTCTAAATATTTGTGGACTGTATAAAAAGATACTTTTTCTCCTGTATTTCGTTTTTTCGGGCAAATGTATCAGGAAAAGCTACTTTTACATATCTGCTTTCTGTCTCTGCTCTCTCATGGTACTTGATGTTTATACCCATTTTTTCAGAGTTTTTCACAGTGATTTATAGCTTTATAGGTTAGCATGTTCCTAAAGTGTGTGTTCATGTCATGTTTTTAAGATTCTCCTCCAAAAAAAAATCATTTGATTTAAAAAATCTTTTAAGAAATTATATACATATAGATTTCTATTGTTTTTGAAAGTCTACAGTAACTACTAAGTAAGATTTTAAAATCATAGCTAGAAATAGTTTATTCCTCACCAAAAGGAGTTACTACTACTGTCAAAAGGTGGTGGATTTAGCTTTTGTCCACCTACACTCTTATAATTATAGGAATTAGATTGGTATCCAGAGATTCATTGCTCAGATTCCCATCTCAGATTCACTCTGTTTAGTCTATAAAACTAAGTTAATATTTCATATATAGAAACAAAAGTACATATAAACTTAGTAAATTTTGAGAATTTTTCATATACCTGTTGGCCATTTGTATGTTGTCTTTTGAGAAATGTTTATTTAGCTCTTTTGCACATTTTTAAATTGGATTTTTTTTTCCTATTGAGTTGTTTGCGTTCCTTCTATATTCTGGATATTAATCCCTTGTCAGATGCATAGTTTGCAAATATTTTCTTCCATTCTGCAGATTGTCTTTTTGTGCTGTTGACTGTTTCCTTTGCTGTGCAAAAGCTTCGTAGTTTGATACAATGCCATTTAAAAATTTTTTTCTTTTGTTGCCTGTGTTTTCGAGGTCTTATTGCTAAAACCTTTGCCCTGTGCTGTGCCATGAAGCATTTCCCGTTTTTTTCCTAGAAGTTTTACAGTTTCAGGTCTTACATTTAATTATTTAATCCAGTTTGAGTTGATTTTCATAAATGGTGATAGATAGGGTTCTAGTTTCATTCTTCTATCCATGTATAACCAGTTTCCCCAGCACCATTTATAGAAGAGGCTGTCCTTTCCCCAATGTATGTTCTCCATGCCTTTGTCAAAGATCAGTTGGCTGTAAATACATAGATTAATTTCTGGGTTCTCCATTCTGTTCCATTAGTCCGTGTGCCTGTACTTATGCCAGTACCATGCTGTTTTGGTTACTATAGCTTTGTAGTTTATCTTTAAGTCAGGTAGTTTAATACCTTTAGCTTTATTGTTTTTGCTAAGGATTGCTTTGGCTATTTGGGGTCTTCTGTTGTTCGATATGAATGTTAGGATTGTTTTCTGTTTCTGTGAAGAATGTCATTGGTATTTTGATAGGGATTGCATTGATTCTGTAGGTCGCTTTGGGTAGCATGGTCATTTTGATAATATTAATTCTTCCAGTCCATAAACATCGAACGTCTTTCCATTTTTTTGTGTCCTCTTTAGAGAATACAAATTTATGGACCATATTTAGTGAGTGCTTACTGTTAGTTACGTATCTGTAGAAAATCTTTGGGGATGGAGATCTAAAACACATTCCATTAGTAATTACCTTAAAGAAAAATAATTTAAAAAACTGTCAGGTATGAGAATGTGAGTATATCTGGTACCAAATTAAGAGTTTCGGAAGTTAGCCAATTTTCAGTCTTAAGTGCAATCAAATTTGATTAAACACATCAAATCTTTATATAGCTTGTTGTGTCAAATTCTTTCTATTATGAAGTTTAGATGATAATTTAGGCACATACAAATGCTTAAAGGGCCCTGGGTATCGTAATAGCAACTTGGTATATTTGAAAGAATAGTTGAGTTTTCTTTAAGCAGTTATAATTTAAAATGAGAAAGATCTAATTAATATTGAATTTAATAAACATATAAACAGAAAAATATAATAGGCTAGCAAGCCAGAGGAGAAGAGTAGTTCAGCGGTTGTGTTGGTGAAAGTGGTGGTTATATTAGTGTATTAGGTATCTAAATTGTATTATCTATTGCTATGTAACAAATTACCCCAGATTTAGCATCATAAACATAAATATGATCTCACACAGATTGTGTGAATACAGTAGTGGCTTAGCTGCTTAGTTCTGGTTTAGGGTCTTTCAGGAGGTGAGAGTCAAGCTGTCAGCTTGGACAGCAGTATCTGAAGACGTGACTAGAATGGGAGGATCCACTTCCCAGGTCAGCATGTGGCTGTTAGCAGGAGGCAGGAATCACTGGGGGTTATCTTGGAGGCCACCAATCACAATTGAGATGGATGTTTAAGCATTGACTTAGGAGAAATTGTGGGGGGGACAAAAAAGTGAACTTGTCCCATGGTGCTTGCCTAGTGGGAGATACTTGAGTGCAACATATCTGCTGTGGCTGACATTGAGAAGATGGGGTTGACATTGACATTTCTAGCTGGAAACTGATAAAAGATAAAAAGAAAAGGGAACCATTTGAAGGTGATAATCACAAGTTTGATACCAAAAGCACTGGGAGTCCTTTGGAAGATTTTGTGTGTTGGAGTGATGCTTAAATAATTATCAAGAAAGATTACTTAGAACTGTGCACATACCTTATAGGTTAAAAAAATAAAAAGACTTTTTTTTTAGGAGTCATGAAGGGGATGTGACAGTGTTGCTACAATGTTGCTGTTGCGAAAAACTCTCTGGAGTTTTTTTATTTGAAAAAAAAAAATGTCTACAGATCTCTTAAACCTATCTGGTTTGGCTTCCAACATGAACCATGCATGTAATTTGCTGTTTAAATCCAAAATAGCTCTCCTTTAGAGGTAGTTGGTTAATTCTACCTTTGAAACTTCCAAGGTAAAACTAAGTCAAGTGTGACAAGAAGAATTTCATGAGATGAATAAATATATGTCATCACTTTTGAAAAATTGTTTGAAGAAGAAATGAGGTTTATTTTGGAGAGACAGGGTTCATTGCAGGTATAAGGTTAGATGACTTTAACATTTATGTTATGGATACTTTAAAAAATATTTAATTTATATGTTAACTGCATTTAAGCACATGATTCTATTAAAAAATATAAAAGTTAATATTTTATAAAATTTTTATTGTAATATTTCTAAAATTCAAGGTGCTATCTTGGATTCCCCCCCCCCCCCCCCCCCCCCCCCCCC